AGGCAGGTAAAACTGCCAGACCGGAAATTATACAAGAACTTTCGTAGCATGTATAAGTACAACAAAGCGCCTAAATTATTGAGAATGGTTGAAATTCCTTGATTTGTACTCCCTGGGATGCAGGTCAGAAAGATACATGATAATATACACCTGGAAAATCCTGGACTAGTCCCAAATCTGCACACGAAAATCACTCCCTACGAAAGCAAAAGACTTGGCAAAAGGTGCAACATCCCCCCCAATGAAAAGCAGAGGCACCACAAGTACGCTTAATCAGCCAGGCTGTTACTGCAGCCAGCAGTAACGGCTGGTTGATCAGGGCCTGATCCACCATGAGGCCTGGTCACAGACCAGGCCGTGGGGGCGTTGACCCCCGAAACCCTCTCCAGGTAATCCCAGTTGACTTTGAAGAAGCCAGACCCAGATTCTTGTTACTATGTTCACCAGAAGTTCCATCACTTTATTTCCACTTAATAAATGATTTACGCAAACTTGTCTAACATTACATTTCTCACGTGGCAGTCTCCTTATGCTGAGCATTTTGGGCAAGCTTAAACCTAACTTACTCTCAAGGGAGGTTCCTTGATGCTGGTGAAGGGCTCTTCATCTAGGGAATTGGATTTGTGCTCCTGTTCCTTGAATTGAGCCTGAACGCCTTCCATTCCCCCTCCCCTCTACATGCGCTGTATAAATCCTATGGTTTTAGGGCTCCCCCATGATTACAATAATTAAACCTAACTTAATCAATCAATCAATCAAGTTAATTCTCTATAAAGATTACAATGCGGGGTTTACAGGTTTTGGATATTGTGTGGTTTACATGTTATAAAATACTAATTACAGAGGGGGGGGGGGTACTAGGACACCTAGCATGGCTAGGTATTTCGGGCAGACTTAGATTAATTCTTAACTCTAAATTAATATAGATTATAGAGTAAGTTGGTATTAAGGCTAAGTGACTACATTATAGTTTGGGAGTTTAGCAATGTAAATGCTTTTGTCTTGGCACAATAAACAGGTTCTGTATTGTAGTATAACAGGCAAACTTATGACTAGTTAGGATTCATTTATTTTATGATTAAGATTCATATTTCCGTGATTATAGTCAAGTGGGTGTGAGTGAGTGTAAGTGTGACCAGGTGGTTTTCATGTAGTTAGTTGTCGGGGTGTATCAGGGAGATAAGATGTTGTCTAACGGTAGTTTTGAAGGTGATGAATGTGTGTGCAGTTCTAGAGTTTTCAGGTAGGGTGTTCCAGATTTTAGGCCCTTTGACATACATAGAATTTTTGTAAGGTTTAGTCGGACACGGGGAATGTCATAGAGATGTTTGTGTCTGGTGTTAGGCCTGTGGGTCCTGTCACAACTATCAAGATAGCATTTTAGGTCAAGGTTAATATTGGAATTTAAGGTCCTGCAGATGTAGATTGCACAGTAGTAAGTGTGGATGTTCTGAACAGGGAGTAAGTTTAGATCTATGAAGAGTGGGGGGGGGGGTGTAGCCAGGGATGGGATTTAGTGATTATTCTTACTGCAGCTTTTTGTTGGGTTATTATTGGCTTTAGGTCTGTTGCTGCAAGTGATCCCCAAGCACAAATAGCAAAGGTGAGGTATGGATTAATGAGTGAATGGTATAGTGTGAGAAGAGCAGTTTGTGGCACATAGTATCGTATCTTGGAGAGGATTACAACTGTTTTGGATACTTTTTTTGTTATGTGTTGGATATGGGTGCTGAAATTCAGGTTGTCGAGGTATAGGCCTAGGAATTGGCCCTCATTATGTCTGGCAATTAGAGTGTTGTCGATCTTAATGTTAAGTTGTGCAACACCTGCTCTGCTACCAAACATAATGTAGTAGGTTTTGTCAGTGTTAAGTGTAAGTGTTATGCAGGGTTCTGCATGACATTGTAATGTACATATAGTGAAGTGTGCCATGATAGTATGAATGTTGTAATTGTAAAGCATAATTTTATAATTCATAATGTGCTTTTGGGGGTACTGTAAAGTAGGTTAAACTATAATTATAAAGAAATCCTGGTAGGTATTTATTTTCCAACTGTTTGGGTACCCGGGGTAAGCCTGGCTGGGGGGAGTCACGTGGAGTCAGCATGGTGTGGAGGCTGGTGTCGGAGATGCTGTGTATTTAAGCTAAGTTTGTAGTTGTGTACTCCTTTTGTTTAGCCAACTCAAGCCATAGGCTCTCCTATGGCTTACCTGTATGCTCACCTGGGCTCTGACATGGTCAGGGTGCAGTGGGATGAGTGAGGAAATAAGAAATGGGGTTGGGAGTGGAGTAGAGTCGGCCTGGCGCTGACTAGGCTGTATAGCCCTTGTGGCTTAGCGCTTCTTTTTGATTATAATAATAATGGCGCTGACTAGGCCTAGTGTTATGGTTACTGGACCACCAGCCAGCTGCTTCTTGGGCCTGGATACGAAATACATGAAAGTGTTTTCTAGAGTGTGCATATAGTGTTATATTGAATAAATAGATTATTTTCCTAACTAGGATTTTTGCCTAACCCTCTGTTAACCAACCCATTGAAGTAACAAATACATATATGTACTGGTTTAGCACTTTCTATTTAGACTGGGATAGCCCTGGGTGGCCTGTTTATGCTTGACATGTGTTTAACTTTTACCATTGCCCTTAGACAAGGCTCAAGCCCCCAGCTATCCCACCTTTCTGCGTAACAGTAAGTTTATTGGCTGTCATCCAAGTCGATATTTTGAGGGTAGCAAGAATAGGGTGAGAGATGACATAAGTCGTGTCGTCAGCAAAGAGAATGGGTTTCAGGTGTTGGGATATGTTTGGAAGATCATTGATGTATATGAGGAAGAGCAGGGGACCAAGGACACTTCCCTGCGGAACTCCAGTATCAAGTGGCTGTGTTGTTGATGCTGTGTCTTTAATGGTGACGTACTGATACCTATTAGTAAGGTAAGATTTGAAATATGCAAGCGCATGGCCTCTTATACCATAATGGTCAAGTTTGTGGAGTAGGATGCCGTAGTCTACTGTGTCAAAAGCTTTTCTTAGGTCAATAAAAATTCCTAGTGGATATTGGCAGATATTTTCCAATGCTGTGTAAAGCAGATCTAGCATTTCTACAATTGCATCATTAGTGTTTTTATTTTTCCTGAATCCAAATTGGCAGGGGTTGAGTATGTTTTGTGCCGTTATAAATGAATATAGTCTCCTGTGCACGAGTTTCTCGAAGATTTTGGATAGCAATGGTAAGTTTGATATTGGCCTATAATTGTTTATATCTGTAGGGTCACCCTTTATGTATTGGTGTAACCCTTGCCGTCTTGAGTAGTGTCGGGAAAGTGCTAGTTTCTAGTGACTTGTTAAAAAGTAATGTAATAGCATGCGAAAGGACATGGGCCCCTCACTTGTACAATAATGGTGGGACATGAGACAGATTCCCCGAGTTATTTTTAAGTGACTTTATGATCGCGGTGACTTCGGTGGGCTCAGTTGGTACAAGATAGAAGGAATTTGGGAAATTCCCATCTAGGTAGTCCCCGGCACGGGTGTTTGTATGTGGGATTTTACTGGCAAGATTAGATCCTATGTTTGAGAAGAAGTCGTTTATCTTGTTAGCTGTATCAGTGGGATGCAGTGGTGTTTCATGAGGTTTAGTTAGGACAATATTCTTGTTTTTTTCAGTGGTCCCTAGAATCTGGGAAAATGTTTTCCAGGTTTTTTTTGTATCTCTTGTGTCAGTGAATCTGCTGGAGTAGTACAGTTGTTTGGGTTTTTTTTATTGCTTTGGTGAGAACTGATGAATATTGTTTAAGAATATCTTTGTGTATTAAGCCCTGTCTGTATTGCTTTTCATATTGGTGTTTCTTATCAATGGATTTCACAATGCTGCTGGTTAGCCATGGGCAACCGAGCCTTTTATTCGTGATCTGTTTCGTTTTTATAGGACAAAGTTTGTTGTATAGTCGAAGTAATTTAAGAAAAATGTCTGTCCAATCGTCAATACCATTGGCATTGGAGAATTCTGTAGGCCAGTCAACAGTCTCTAGGTCTGCTATGAAATTCCTTATTGAGGCCTCGTCATGGAGTCGAAATGAAACTTTGTTGTATCTAGAAGGACTGTAGACAATGATCGTCTCAATAAATTAGATTACATGAATATTAAACAAACGTATATGAGGTAAATAAAAATCATGTTACAGAAAAATGAGAACACTTAGATTATGCTATATCAGTGGGTAGTTCTGTAACTAACTAACTTTTCTTATTGTTTTCAAATTAATTGACCCAGTGGATCTGTATATTTCCGAAGTGTGTCACATGGAAAGGGGTCTATTATATGGAGGGTTTACTATATTACAATGAAGGTTATATGTGATTCTGAATTATTCATACTTCATATTTTAGCTAGGTAATATTGAATTTAAAAAAGTATGTAAATAATTAAACGAGCCTAGTTAGGATCTGTACAGATGCCCTGTATGAAATAGAAGAAAGAAATGGTTATAACTGAACATAATTTTTAAAGGGGTTGACCAGTAAGCCAGCGGAAGGCCTCGGTCAGATGACCAAAAGCTCCAACGGCGGCTCATCATCCAAGACCCGCGTCAGGAAACACTTGTCCTGTTTCCTGACGAACCTTACCTAACCTAACCTGTACGAAATAAGGTAGTTACTAAATGGGGAGAGTTACAGTGATAACTGATTTTACACCGAAATATTAATTGTATTCCACCACCACAATAAATGTCCTAAGAATTTTCAAATTTTCCTACCACTACTTCTCTACTTTCTTTCTTCATCTCTCCATTCCTGCCCTCTCTCTCCTATTTACACACCGACATCCTCACCTTCATGTATTAGTGTGACTTGTAAATGGTCCAAGTTGGACCGAAATATAGTCATAAGCTTCCCTGTCCTATGTGCGGGTTATTTGTGTACAATATAATTCCTTACGCTCAATTATTTTCGAATGTTCAGGATAATATTTACACTAAGACAGGTGGTTCTTTTGCAGATGAAAAATGTTTACCGGCGAGACCAGAGGTTCTGGGCACGACGACCTCTATCTGAAGACATGATTGTTTATGCTGCTTACGATGTTGTAGCTCTTGTACCCACAGTCTATGATGCTATGAAAAGGTACAGTTATCAGCATTTACTGTACCTGCTGTTGATATTTTTACTCTAAGTAATCATGATTGTCTATTGTAAAAGCAACACTGGTACTAGAGCCAGAGCCAACACTAAAAACACTGGTTCTAGAGTCAGTCAACACTAGCAACACTGGTACTAGTCAGAGCCAACACTAACAACACTGGTACTAGTCAGAGCCAACACTAACAACACTGGTACTAGAGTCAGTCAACACTAGCAACACTGGTACTAGTCAGAGCCAACACTAACAACACTGGTACTAGAGTCAGTCAACACTAGCAACACTGGTACTAGTCAGAGCCCCAAAACTAACAACACTGGTACTAGAGTTTAAATCAACACTAGCAACACTGGTACTAGCCAAGCCAAAAACTAACAACACTGGTACTAGAGTCAGTCAACACTAGCAACACTGGTACTAGTCAGAGCCAACACTAACAACACTGGTACTAGTCAGAGCCAACACTAGCAACACTGGTACTAGTCAGAGCCAACACTAACCAACATTTGGGACTAGAGTCGGTCAACAACTAACAACACTGGTACTAGTCAGAGCCAACACTAACAACACTGGTACTAGTCAGTCAACACTAACAACACTGGTACTAGAGTCAGAGCCAACACTAACAACACTGGTACTAGAGTCAGTCAACACTAGCAACACTGGTACTAGTCAGAGCCAACACTAACAACACTGGTACTAGAGCCAGAGCCAACACTAACAACACTGGTACTAGAGCCAGAGCCAACACTAACAACACTGGTACTAGTCAGAGCCAACACTAACAACACTGGTACTAGTCAGTCAACACTAACAACACTGGTACTAAAGCCAGAGCCAACACTAACAACACTGGTACTAGAGCCAGAGCCAACACTAACAACACTGGTACTAGAGTCAGAGCCAACACTAACAACACTGGTACTAGAGTCAGAGCCAACACTAACAACACTGGTACTAGAGTCAGAGCCAACACTAAAAAATTTTCCTGGGTGGAGGCATGGCTGACAAATAGGCAGCAGAGAGTTTGCATAAATGGGGAGAAATCAGAATGGGGGCACGTCACAAGCGGTGTTCCTCAGGGGTCAGTGTTGGGCCCGTTGTTCACAATCTACATAAACGACATAGATGAGGGAATAAATAGCGACATAAGCAAATTTGCTGATGACACTAAAATAGGCCATCCAGTTCATTGTAAGGGGGAACTAAGCACTCCGGGTGTTTTGAATACATGGCAATGGTCGGAGAAGTGGCAATGCAGTTTAATATTGACAAATGCAAAGTTTAAATTTTTGGACAGTTAAAAAAAACCATGCTACAAAAAAACTAAATAAGTAGATTTTAAAAAATATGTTTCCCAAAAAGGGATTTAGGTTTTCTGGTTAGCAGTAATCAAAAAACCAAGACAACAGTTTACCTGGAGAAAATTTCCGGGGGGTAAAAGCCCCCAGCACCCCGGTTGTGCCCAGGCCTCCGGAAATCAAGCCTGATCAACCAGGCTGTTCCTGGCTGAAAAGGAAACCCAACTTTCGAGCCACACCCCGGCCCCGGGTGGGAACCCCGACTTTAGGTGCTTGTCCAGGCCGTTGAAGCTGCCGGGGGTCTGTTGGTAATCCCCCTTATGTTTGCGGGGGAGGCATTTGAACAGTTGGGCCCCTGCATTTATTGTATGGCCCTTTTAAAACGTGCTAGTGACACCCCGTTTTTTCTTTTGGGGGGGATGTTGCATCGTCTCCAAATTTTTTTGCTTTCGTTGATGATTTTCGTGTGCAAGTTCGGAAAGCCCCTCTAGGCCCTAGGATTTTCCAGGGTATATAATCAGTATCCTCCTGCCTGCATTCCAGGAATACATTTTTGGAACCTCAAGGCCCCATAATTGAGGTGTTTTTTTCTCCGTTAAAGCGTGCCTGAAGGTTCTCTGTACATTTTTAGGTCACAATTTCCCTGCCTTTAAAGGTGCTGTTAGTGGCGCAATATTAGCCAAAAAATTTGAAAACAAGTGATAAGAGTTCCAAAGGGGCCTCCCTATTTTTTAAGGTTCTCTTATCCCTCCTGTCATTTTTTTCTAGCAGATGCGATTGAACAATTTAGGTCCTTAAGGTGAGATTTCTGACATTATCATTCCCCGGTCTTTTACGTTGGGGTTTCGCTTATTTTGTGGCCAAATTTGTTTTGTACTCTGATGAAAATTTTAAATTTTCCCTTTTTTACCATATCTGGTAATTTAAATTTCTCAAACGTTGAATTTTTATTTTTTCTGCAGCCCACTGAAAGATTCGGTTGATGTCCACCTGGAGCCTTGCGGTGTCTGCAATGGAAGACACTGTCATGCAGATTCGGGTGTCATCTTCAAAGGAAGACACGGTGCTGTGGCTGACATCCTTGTCTATGTCGGATATGAGGATGAGGAACAAGATGGGAGCGAGTACTGTGCCTTGTGGAACAGAGCTTTTCACCGTAGCTGCCTCGGACTTTACTCTGTTGATGACTACTCTCTGTGTTCTGTTAGTGAGGAAATTATAGATCCATCGACCGACTTTTCCTGTTATTCCTTTAGCACGCATTTTGTGCGCTATTACGCCATGGTCACACTTGTCGAAGGCTTTTGCAAAGTCTGTATATATTACATCTGCATTCTTTTTATCTTCTAGTGCATTTAGGACCTTGTCGTAGTGATCCAATAGTTGAGACAGACAGGAGCGACCTGTTCTAAACCCATGTTGCCCTGGGTTGTGTAACTGATGGGTTTCTAGATGGGTGGTGATCTTGCTTCTTAGGACCCTTTCAAAGATTTTTATGATATGGGAAGTTAGTGCTATCAGTCTGTAGTTCTTTGCTGTTGCTTTACTGCCCCCTTTGTGGAGTGGGGCTATGTCTGTTGTTTTTAGTAACTGTGGGACGACCCCCGTGTCCATGCTCCCTCTCCATAGGATGGAAAAGGCTCGTGATAGGGGCTTCTTGCAGTTCTTGATGAACACGGAGTTCCATGAGTCTGGCCCTGGGGCAGAGTGCATGGGCATGTCATTTATTGCCTGTTCGAAGTCATTTGGCGTCAGGATAACATCGGATAGGCTTGTGTTAACCAAATTTTGTGGCTCTCTCAAAAAATTCATTTTGATCTTCGACTCTCAGTCTGGTTAGCGGCTTGCTAAAAACTGAGTCATATTGGGACTTGAGTAGCTCACTCATTTCCTTGCTGTCATCTGTGTAGGACCCATCTTGTTTAAGTAGGGGCCCAATACTGGACGTTGTTCTCGACTTTGATTTGGCATAGGAGAAGAAATACTTTGGGTTTCTTTCGATTTCATTTATGGCTTTTAGTTCATCCCGCGATTCCTGACTCCTATAAGATTCCTTTAGCTTGAGTTCGATGCTTGCTATTTCTCTGACCAGTGTCTCCCAACGCATTTCAGATATATTGACCTCTTTTAGCCGCTCCGTTATTCTTTTCCGTCACCTGTAAAATGAGCACCTGTCTCTTTCTATTTTACATCTACTCCTCCTTTTTCTTAGAGGAATAAGCCTTGTGCATACATCGAGTGCCACCAAGTTAATCTGTTCTAGGCATAAGTTGGGGTCTGTGTTGCTTAGTATATCTTCCCAGCTTGTATCGGTTAGGACTTGGTTTACTTGGTCCCACTTTGTTTTTGTTATTGAAGTTGAATTTGGTGAATGCTCCCTCGTGACTAGTCTCATTATGTCGGTCTGGGGCTCCACGCATACATGTCTGAACCTCAATTATGTTGTGATCTGAGTATATTGTTTTTGATATGGTGACATTTCTTATCAGATCATCATTGTTAGTGAAGATGAGGTCTAGTAGGCTCTATTATTTGCTGGTTTAAATTGAATTTTGTGCAGAGATTTAAAAGCTCGTGTGACTGTGAGTTTTCATCAGAGCTGCCTCCTGGTGTTATTACTGCAACAATATTATTTGCTATATTCCTCCATTTTAGGTGCCTTAAGTTGAAATCCCCCAGGAGCAAGATGTTGGGTGCAGGAGCTGGAAGATTTTCCAGACAGTGGTCAATTTTTAACAGCTGTTCCTGGAATTGCTGGGATGTTGCATTCGGAGGCTTGTAGACTACCACAATGACTAGATTTTGGTTCTTGACCTTTACTGCTAAAACTTCCACTACATCATTTGAGGCATTTAGCAGTTCTGTGCAAACAAGTGAATCTGCAAGTGACAGTGCATTAGTGTTCGCAATAAAGCTAACGGAATCCTTGGCTTCATATCTAGAAGTGTAAATATTAGAAGTCCTCAGATTGTTCTTCAACTCAATATATCCTTGGTTAGGCCTCATTTAGACTATGCTGCTCAGTTCTGGTCACCGTATTACAGAATGGATATAAATGCTCTGGAAAACGTACAGAGGAGGATGACAAAGATGATCCCATGTATCAGAAATCTTCCATATGAGGATAGACTGAGGGTCCTGAATCTGCACTCTCTCGAAAGGCGTAGAATTAAGGGGGATATGATAGAGGTGTATAAATGAAAAACAGGAATAAATAAAGGGGATGTAATTAGCATGTTGAAAATTTCCAGCCAAGACAGGACTCGCAGCAATGGTTTCAAGTTGGAAAAATTCAGATTCAGGAAGGATATAGGAAAGCACTGGTTTGGTAATAGTCGTGAATGAGTGGAACAAACTCCCGAGTACAGTTATTGAGGCTAAAACGTTGTGATGTTTTAAAAATAGGTTAGATAAATACATGAGTGGGTGTGGGTGGGTGTGAGTTGGACCTGACTAGCTTGTGCTGCTGGGTCTGGTGCCGTGCTCCATCTTGAGTGGAGGTGACCAGACTGGGTGGGTCATTGGGCTAATCCGGAGGGGGGACATGGACCTGCTCCGCATGGGTCAGTAGGCCTGTTGCAGTGTTTCTTCTTTCTTATGTTCTTATGTTTAACACTGGTACTAGTCAGAGCCAACACTGGCACTAGAGCCACAGCCAATCAATCAATCAATCAAGTTTATTC